CCCTCTGCCTTAAGAAAAAAGGGGAAGAGAAGAGATGCGTCAAAAGGAAACACAAGTATAAGGAAAATATTGCTTGGCACAACGTTTCAGTGAGACTTGAACCCAAGATAATTGTGAGAATATAGCTCTTAAATTCTGATTGATGGTAAGTAAGACATCTTCCGATCTCGAGGCTTCCATACCAAGATACAAAAGTTTTGGTGAAGTCCCGCAATCTGAAATTGTCAGCGTGTTAGAATTTTATGTTGATTTTGGAATATTATCTGAAACTACCCTTAAGGTATTAAATTTTTTATTTCGGATATGTTCTAGATCTTGAAGTCTAGTTTTCAATAAATAAAACGGTTCGTAATTTCGACGTCCCTACACCAAGATATGAATTTTTTGGTGAAACTGCGAAATCTGGAATTGATGGCGTGGTGCGATGAAAAGTTGATTTCAAAATATTATCTGGAACGATTCCGAAGTTGTTTGATTGAGAATTTTGGATATTTTCTAGATCTTGAAGTCTAGTTTTCTTGAGATCAAACGGTTTGCAATTTCGATATTTCTACACCGAGATATGAATTATTTGGTGAGACTGCGCAAATCTGGAATTGATAGCATGGTGCAATATAAAGTTGATTTCAAAATATTATCTGGGACGATTATGAAGTTGTTTGATTGAGAATTTTGGGTATTTTCTATATTTTAAAGTCTAGTTTTAAAAAAATCAAATGGTTTGCAATTTCGATATTTTTACACCAAGATATGGTTTTTTTGGTGAGACTGCGCAAATTTGAAATTTTCAACGTGGTGAAATCTAAAGGTGGTTTTAAAATATTATTCGGGGCAATTCTGAAGGTGTCTGATTCTAAGTTTTGGATATATTTTAGATATTGAAGTCTAATTTTCGAGAAGTCAAACGGTTCATTATTTGGACTCTCCCACAACAAGATATGAATCTTTTGTTACAAGCGCGTAAAGCTGAAAATTATGCGACTAAGATAAAAGTCGGACAATGTAAAGCAAAAGAGAAGCTGAAATATTTAAGCCCTTCAAGTCTCAAAGTTGAAGTCTTCAAGTTCGTCGGTCTTCAAGTTTCAGTCTTCAAATTCGCCGGTCTTAAAGTTAAAATATTTAAGCCCTCCAAGTTGAAGTCTTCAAGTCCTTCGGTCTTTAAGTTTCAGTCTTCAAATTCGCCGATCTTAAAGTTGAATTGTTCAAGCCCTCCGAATCTTCGAGTTGAAGTCTGCAAAGTTCGCCAAATCTTCAAAGTTTTCCAAGTGTTCAAGTCGATGTTGTCTTCGAGTTGAAGCTTTATAACTTTCCAATATTAAGGTGGACATATGAGTCCCTTTGCACCTTAAGTTGGCCTCTTTGCGTGTTTGTCCTTAAAAGGAACTATAACTTTCCAATCTTAAGGTGGACATATGAGTCCCTTTGCACCTTAAGTTGGTCTCTTCGCGGGGTTGTCCTTAAAAGGAACTATAACTTTCCAATCTTAAGGTGGACATATGAGTCCCTTTGCACCTTAAGTTGGCCTCACCGATAGTCGAGCCACATTGAGAGTAATCTCTCCGGTAGTCAGGCCACATTGAGAGTAATCTCTCCGATAGTCGCGCCATTTTGAGAGTAATCCCTCCGATAGTCAGGCCACATTGAGAGTAATCTCTGCGATAGTCGGGCCGTTTTGAGAATAATCTCTCCGATAGTCAGGCCACATTGAGAGTAATCTCTCCGATAGTCGGGCCGTTTTGAGAGTAATCTCTCCGATAGTCAGGCTACATTGAGAGTAATCTCTCCGATAGTCGGGCCGTTTTGAGAGTAATCTCTCCGATAGTCTGGTCATTTTGAGAGTAATCTCTCCGATAGTCGAGGCACATTGAGAGTAATCTCTCCGATAGTGAGGCCACATTGAGAGTAATCTCTCCGATAGTCGGGCAAGGATGAGTAGTCATCCCCTCACACCCCATGATTGTCTTCTTCATGCGTAGATCATTTTGTTGAACAAGAGCATATCTTTCTCGCTTGACTTACAAATAAGAAAAAAGACAACAAAGGAAGGAAAGCACAAGAAAAGAAGAAGAAATTACCTTCGCGTTGATGCTTCCGATTCCAACTAGACTCAAGTGGCTTGCGAAACTGCGAATTGATGCTTAACAATTACGAGCACATGAGTTTATATAGATGTCAAAGACGGATGCTGAAACGTGAAAGTGTTAGATGTGGGATAGCTGCTCTAATCAGACTCCAGAAAGGATTCAAATTATAAGAGTTATTCTCCAGAGCGGAAAGGATTGCTACGAGACGGTGAGTATCTACTGCTTACGAGCAAATTTGGAAAAGGACTCTTGAGTTATACTGAAATAAGGAAAACAACTTAGTGGGTGTATTAGTATTGGCATGTAAGACAAATCCAATTCCTTGGATGATTGCAACTTACTTACGTGGACAAGCTGGACTATGTCTCGAAAGACGTTGTTCTTAGGCTATCAAGATGATGTCCCTATAAATTTAATATTGATCCACGTGAAAGAAGCATTTTACTTTGTTGACAACTAAAGCATCAGTTGTTTTATTAGTGCATGTGAATGGAAAAGTGAATTCCCCACTACAAATTGCAAATGCAAGAAAAAAAGGTCACTTGCAAATTTTTGAAATCAATAAGTTGTCATTTCATTTAAAATGAGATTTGACATACTACTTCCGAAATAATAGCAAATAAAGCTATTACTCTTTTCCTTACTTTAACGGAATGAGTCATTTTAAGCTATCCGTAAATACTTCAAGTCTAGTTTTTGACAAGTCTTGAAGTAGGGGGCATTTGTAGGCATGCAAATTTTATTGAATATAAATTCAATAAAATAATTTGGATCATTTTAAATATATTAGTCCAAATAAATATTCTGGGCTAACATAATTAAATTAATGATATAAGTCCAATATATATGGATTAAATAAATAAGTCTTAATCCATTGGGCTAGCCTATTTAATTGGGCTAAAAGTGATGAGCCCACTTCATTAAGCCCAAGATGCCATCTTCCTAGAGGCCCAGTTTGGTGCCACGTGTCAAATGACGTGGCACGCCAAGTCAAGCGGAAGCCAATAGGATTATGCCACGTGTCAAAATGACAAGGCATGCCAAGTCAAATTAAAGGGCCAATAAAATTGTGCCACATGTGCAAGTGACATGTTCTAGCCAATCAAATGCGGCCATGTCACACTTCAATTTGATTGGTCGTAAAGAGTTTGTTCTTATCACAACTCTTCCCTTCCACAACTATAAATAGGGGTCTTCATAACTCAGAAAAGACACCAGAAGCTATAACAAGAAGCATGAAAGAGCTCGTGGATCAAACGCTGCAAATTCCTCCACAAGTTTCAAGCTTCAAGCAATCAAGTTCAAGTTCAAGCTCAAGAACTAGGGGTGTTCATGGTTCGGTTTGGATCGGTTTTTCCCTAAAAAGAAACCAAACCAAGTAAGTCGGTTTTTCAAATATTAGAACCAAAGCAAAACAATTAAGTCGGTTTTTTCTCGATTCGGTTTATGTCAGTTTTTCGGTTTTTTCGATTATTTGTCGGTTTTTTCTTAAATATAAGACATACACTACCAAACACATATTCCGGATACCACATTTTCAACGTAACACTATCAAATCAATTGCCCTTCGAGAAATCTATTATTTACCAAGATATATTGATGATAATTGAATCAAATAGTGATGAATAATTTAAAGACTCAATTAAAAATATATTATTTTTAACACGAAATGGATTCTTACACTTAACAAAAGAAAAATACCAATCAAACTAGAATGTAAAGGTAAAGAACTATACTAAAAGTGCAAACTATTAACATTTACCATTAAATTTTTGAAACTTTATATAAAAATATACATATATCTAGGTGTAATAATAAATTTGAAATAGCTACTCCTATAGTCGGTTTGGTTCGGTTTTTTTCTGATTAAAACCAAAACCAAACCAAATTTGACGGTTTTTAAAGTTCAAACCCAAAAACAAACCAAATCAAAAAGTATTGATTTTTTTGATCGGTTTGGTTTGGTTTTTCGGATTTTTATGAACACCCCTATCAAGAACGAAGAACAAATCAAGTTCAAGCTCGAGAACGAAGAATAATTCAAGTATTCAAGATCAAGAACGAAGTCAAACCAAATACAAGGCGTTCAAGATCAAGGCTACTTGTTCGTGATACAATTCGTGGCAACAATCAAAGTGTTCCCGACGAATAAATCAAATTCAAATTCAAGATCAAGCTCAAAAGCCCTTGAATTTATTTACTGCTGAAAAAAAGAATCAGAGGATTCATAGAGATTGTACACTCAAATATTCGAAATAAAATACTACGATTGTTGCGATATTCTCGGTCTTGATTTTATTTTCTCGAACCAAATTTATTGTCTACAATAGATTCACAATATTATTCTCACATATTGGTGCCTGGGAATAAATCGTGCCCGAAAGATGTTTAAAACAAGTTTTTATTCCTGAAATAGAAATAATATACATAGTCTCACAAGGATTTGCTCTCCTAGAATGCTATTTACAAATATAACAAACTTATAAGAGCCTATGGACATAAGAATTTTTTTACTTTTTTTCGAAAATTCTCATTTTTTTTTCAAAATTAGTGTCTGGCATCCAATTTTTACTTGAAAATGAATTTTAATATTTTTTAAAAATTTGAAAAACTCCAAAAAGTTATTTTTCAAAATTCCACTCAGATCACTCACAAAACTTCAAAAACAACCCAAAATTATATTCATGTCCAAACACGACTCTCATTTTCAAATACAATTTTCACTTGAAAAAAATTTCACTTTTTTTTTTTGGAATTTTACATTTCTTATGTCCAAACGCCCAGTTATCATACACAAATAACTTGGCAATAGACTCAGTCAACTGATGTCACTTCTTTTTCCAGGCTGCCACAATCATCGTTTTTGCACAATATTTTTGTTGTATAAGAAATGAAATGTATCAGCACTCAGGAGAATGAACCAAGTTCCGGCAGTATTATACTTTCCCTGTTTTGCAATTTGTACCCATGTATACGGTGAATGATGGTCGACATTGCTTGCAGCTTGCAAGAAAACAAACTTTCATATTCTAAATTTGCAACATAGCATTACCCTTTTTACTCAAAAACAACTGAAACAGAACATCAACAGGATGGAATCTTACAGTCTAGTTGCCTTGAAGCAATTTGAGGAATGGATTTGCTAAAAATCAATACAATCAACATTTAAGATAAACAAGTGATTGATGAAGATTATCTACTTGCTTTCACCCATGCAGAATACTAAACCTTCTCATTTTTTCTACCTTCCAGTTCTTTGCCTACATCAATATATGCTATACTGTGAGAGGAACTTCTGCACAAGTTAAGAAGAAGCACATTTCTCACCAAATTATTCAAATCTAATGCATAATAGAAGAATCCAACTTCATATACATTGATCCTTGTAAGAGAACCAAAAACTTACTTGGCCATTAAAAGAACCAGTTGTTCTGATTCCCATAACAGGGTAGCAACAGATTTCATGTTCGCCACAGCTTTTAACAGCAACATGCTAAAATCTTTAACTCTTCTTATCTTCCGCAGATGTTGCTGTAGCAACTTTGTATCCTTGAAAAATATGTGCAAAATAAAAAAGAAAGAGTCAAAGAATACTGCTTTAAACAACCTGTTTGAACATGTATGGAAAATTTTGTTATTTAGTGTATTGATCAAACAAATACATATGCAACTTTTGTCCGGTTAGCATAATTTCATGAATTTCTACGAATAAAAATATTTGTTTCAAACTGTTTTAGATACATTACTACTCCTACTCTAAATAATTAAAAGTTCATACACAACAATCATACATTAGTTAGTTTTAACGCACAAATATGACGGACAAAAGATACTTATCAATTAAGTTAGGCATTCTATATACAAACTCATAAACAAAACCAAGAAGCTTGAAAGTAGTTCAACTTTTCCTAAAACATCACCTTTATCATTTCATCTCTCCATATGATAATTCATAACATAGTCATTTAACAGTAATGGAGGGTGAGTATATCAGGTTTACTGAGAACTAACTGACATAACTTATATCCTGTGCACCAATCTAATGTCATGGAAGATAAAATTATGCTAAATTACCTCAAAAGAATGTCCTCATAAGTAAAGTTAGTAGTTTGGGTATTCGGAAATGGATAAGTCTATCCATCAAGTAGTTTTGCACCACGAGCCCTTACAAGACCATATTCACATCCCACGTCAAGAACATCAGGTCTGTCTTCACCACCAGTAATCATACACAGAAGTGACTGAAATTGTTGTCTACCAAGGGAATCCCAAAAAAAGTCAGTTCTGTTTTCCATCTTGGACGCACAACCAAGTTCAGTAAATTCCTTGTAAGTAAAGCCAATAAAATATCAGGTGCAGAATTGAAGAAGGGAGAAAGCAATGCCATATTCTATGTAACAACAAAACTTAGACACTAAAAAATAGTGCAAACTGTTAGGTGTTTGTCCAGATTTTCTTACCATAATCGGTTTTCTTATCTCATGAAGGAAAAGACAACATATTTACCACAATTGGGTTTTCTTTTCTAGAAGGAAAATATAATTCTTCCATATTTGGCTAGTCCCTTTTCTTGTAGGAAAAGGTTTGGACTTCTATAAATTGAGGATCCTTCCTTCACATTCAGTAGCATCCGCAATGTAGTCATAGGGGGCTTGAGAGTCTTATTTAGGGGGAGAACTTTACGGGACAAGTGTTAGTGTATCGCTTGTGTTTGACTCTTCGTGAGGTTGTTCTCTCGATATTTTGTACTCCCTTTTATTATAGTGGATAGCTCATCTCTGTCGTGGACGTAGGTCAGTTGACCGAACCACGTTATATGTTTGTGTCTCTTTTGGTATATTTCTCTTTTATTGTCTGATTTATCGTCGTTCAAGCGTTGTGTTGCTAACTTCTGCATGACACCTGATTTTTTTCGGTCCTAACAGTGGTATCAGAGCCTTGGTTATTTATCCGGGTGGTTAAGGAATGGAGGCGAATATGAGCAAGATGGTATGTTTAAATGGGAGAAATTATAATGTCAGGAGAAGCAAGATGAAAGACTCGTTGTTCGTGAAGAAGATGTATCTACCCATTTTTTCAGCTCATAAACCCGAGAGTATATCCGATGAAGATTGGGATTTCGAGCACCAACAAGTATGTGGATATATACGACAATGGGTTGAAGATAATGTTCGCAACCATATTGTGAACGAGATACATGCGAGATCATTGTGGGAAAAGCTAGAGACTCTTTATGCTTCAAAAACCGGGAACAACAAATTGTTTTAGCTAAAGCAATTGATGACCTTTAAATACAAGGAAGGCAGCCCTATCCTTGATCATATAAATGATTTTCAGGGCGTCCTTGATCAGCTATCTATAATGGGAGTTAATTTTGATGATGAGATACAAGGACTTTGGCTTCTTAATACTCTGCCAGACTCTTGGGAAATTCTTCGTGTTTCTTTGACAAATTCAGCTTCTGGAGGTAAGGTGACCATGGAATATGCCAAGAGTGGTGTGTTGAACGAGAAAGTAAGGAGAAAATCTCAGGGTTCGTCCTCACAAGCAGATATATTGGTTACAGAAGACCGGGGGAGAGATAGAACAAGAGGCTCAATGAATAGAGGTAAAGTAGAAGTAAGTCAAGGTCCAAATACTATAATATTACATGCAACCACTGTGGCAAGAAAGAACACATCAAAAGGTTTTGCCGCAAGTTGAATCAAGACACTAGAGAAGGAAAGAAAGCTGAAAATAACGAGAACAATGTTGATGATATTGTTCGAGATGACCTTCTTTTTGCTTATGATGAAAACGTCATCAATTTGGTATCCCATGAGACTAGCTGGATAGTAGATTCTGGAGCTACCTCACATGTCACACCAAGAAAAGATTTTTTCTCATCTTATACTGCTGTTGATTCTGGAGTGTTAAAGATGGGCGATGCCAGTGAAGTTAAGGTGTTTGGTGTTGGCACAGTTTTTGAAAACTAATAATGGTTCAACGTTAGTTATTCAAGATGTCAAGCATGCTCCAGACTTTCCTTTCAATTTGATCTCCGCAGGAAGATTAGACGATGAAGGTTACCATAATGCCCTCTTTAATGGCCAATGGAAGCTCACTAAGGGCTCGTTAGTAGTGGCTCACGGAGTTAAGTCTGGTTATTTATATGTGACACAGGGCTCTATTCTTAATGACTCAATAAATATGGTGGAAGGTGATACTTTATCAGAATTGTGGCGCAGAAGATTGAGTCATATGAGCGATAGGGGGATTACGTGTTTGGCTAAGAAAAGTTTGCTTTCTGGATTGAAACCAGCAAAGCTGAAAGGTGTATCGATTGTTTAGCTGGCAAACAGAAAAGGGTTTCCTTTCATAGTCATCCTCCCTCAAGAAAGCTCGATTTATTGGAGCTACTACACTCTGATTTGTGTGGTCCTTTTAAAGTAAAGCCAAAAGGTGGTGCACTTTAATTTGTGACCTTCATTGATGATCATTCTCGTAAGCTCTGGGTGCATCCTTTGAAATCTAAAGAACAAGCACTTGGGGTGTTTAAGGAATTTCAGGCCTAAGCTGAGAGACAGACGGGGAAGGAATTAAAATGTATTCGCACTGACAATGGTGGTGAATATTGTGGTGCCTTTGATAACTATTGCAAGGAACAAGGAATTCGTCATCAGAAAACACTGCGCCTTAATTGAACGGTTTGGCAGAGAGGATGAATAGAACTCTAGTTGAGAGAGTTAGATGCTTACTTTCAGAGGCTAAACTTCCAAATACATTTTGGGCGGAAGCACTTAATACTGTTGCCTATGTTATCAAGTTGTCTCCTGTTGTTGCTTTAGATGGTGATGTCCCCGACAGAATTTGGTTTGCCAAAGATGTTTCTTATGATCACCTGAGAGTTTTTGGGTGTAAAGCTTGTGTGCATATTCCTAAAGATGAGAGACCGAAACTAGATGTCAAAACTAAGCAGTGCATCTTTATCGGTTATGGTCAAGATGAATTTGGGTATCGTTTTTATGATCTAGTTGACAATAAACTTATTAGAAGTCGTGATGCAATATTCTTTGAAGACCAAACTATTGAAGATATTGACAAAGCTGAGAAGATAGATTCTCAGAGTAATGAGAGCTTAGTTGATATTGATCAAGTTTCAATTGCTAAGGCACCTATTGCACATGAAGGAACCCAAGACAATGATGGTGATAGTGATCAAGATCAAAATGATCATCATTGTATAGATGTTATGGATGCTCCAGTTGATGAAGTTGTGGTTGATCAGCAACCAATTCCTGCACATGTAACTACTTCGAATGCTCCTGAAACCTCTCTTAGAAGATCTACAAGGGAGAAGAAAAAATCCATGCGCTATCCTCCTGATGAGTATGTACTTTTGACTGACATGGGAGAACCTGAAAATTATGATGAAGCCATGCAAGATAATCACAAAGATCATTGGATCGAAGCCATGGAAGATGAGATAAAAGTCACTCCATGAGAATGGCACATATGAGTTAGTGAAATTGCCGAAAGGTAAGAGAGCTTTATCTAACAAATGGATATTCAGAATAAAGCAAGATAACCATACCTCTGTGCCTAGATACAAGGCGAGGTTAGTTGTTAAAGGTTTTGGCCAAAAGAAGAGAGTTGACTTTGATGAAATTTTCTCCCCTGTTGTGAAGATGTCTTCTATTCGTGTGGTTCTAGGCTTAGCCGCAAGTCTAGATTTAAAAGTTGAGCAGATGGATGTCAAGACTACTTTTCTTCATGGTGATTCAAATGAGGAGATTTATATGGAGCAGTCTGAGGACTTCGTAGTTAAGCTTGCAGATAAGCATGCGTTTTGCAGAAAATTGGCAGGCATGAAGCCTGTCAATAGTTCCTCTACTTGAAGACACATTTGGCCCCTTGGCTGGAGGGGGAGTTTGTTGGGCACATGCCCATGTTGTCCAGCCAAAGGCCCAATGGCCTAATCCTATTCTCTTTTGGTTTCCATTCCCATTCAGAATTGGATTCGGTATTTATTCCTATTTTGAGTGGGTTTTGGCTTTAAGAGAAAGCACCACTCATGATCTATAAATAGGACAACCTTGGAGAATTATTTTATTCTCATTGATACAAGTCTTTCAAAGACCTAAGCACATAAGAGTGATTTTTGAGAGAGCTTTCATCAAGAGAGAAGAAAAGTATTTGTTTTGCTGCAGATTTTTACTCCGACCAGCCAACTTCAAATCATGTTTTCCGATTCGTTAACCGTTGGATCTGGCTGAAATTTTTACTGAGTGTTCATAACATCTTGTTCTTGGATTTGAACGGTGGAGATCGGATTTGGAGGCTCGTAGCATCTGATTTCGAGCCTCGAACAACATCTTCATTTTTGTGGATTATACTCTTTCTTCAATTGATTAGTTGTTGCTATTGTTGCTCAGTGTTTGGCCCTTGTTGTGTAGCCAATTTGGAGAAATTTTTGTAACCTTCTTATTGTTATAGTGGAGCTTTTTGGATCTTTGTCATCCCGTGGTTTTTACCTTAGATTTGAAGGGTTTTCCACGTTAAAATTTGGTGTTCTTTATCTTCTGTTATTTTCAGGTTTGCCTCTTCCTCAACATAACAAGTGGTATCAGAGCGAGGTTCAGGACAGGTTCATCTTGGCGGGTTCAGTTCTAGCCGCAACATATTTGACGATAATCGTGATTTTTGTCTGAGAAATTTGACCGGTGTGCTACGCACGTTGAGACAAACTTCGTGGTGGAGATTTGGAGACGCGACCCGTTGAAGATTATATGGAGAAGGTGGATCAAGTTTGTTTTGTCAGAAAATTCAGGCCAAGGGGGAGAATTGTTAGGTGTTTGTCCAGATTTTCTTACCATAATCGGTTTTTCTATCTCATAAAGGAAAGGACAACATATTTACCATAATTGGGTTTTCTTTTCCTAGAAGGAAAATATAATTCTTCCATATTTGGCTAGTCCATTTTCTTGTAGGAAAAGGTTTGGACTTCTATAAATTGAGGATTCTTCCTTCACATTCAGTAGCATCCACAATGTAGCTATAGGGGGCTTGAGAGTCTTGTTTAGGGGGGAGAACTTTACGGGACAAGTGTTAGTGTGTCACTTGTGTTTGACTCTTCGTGAGGTTGTTCTCTCGATATTTTGTACTCTATTTTATTATAGTGGATTGCTCATCTCCGCCGTGGACGTAGGTCAGTTGACCGAACCACGTTATATGTTTGTGTCTCTTTTGGTATATTTCTCTTTTTTTGTCTGATTTATCGTCGTTCAAGGTTTGCGTTGCTAGCTTTTGCATGACACCTGATTTTTTTCGCTCCTAACACAAACAAAATCATCTCTTTTCAGACATTAGGATGTAAGAGAGAGAGTATGCACTACATAGGGGAGCTTCACAGTCTTGCAGTTAATGTGAGATATATGTTCTAATCTCTTGGGTTTACTCAAACTTACACTTCTGCCCTTGGAAAATAATTACAAGCCATGGTAGATACAGTACTATTAATGCCAGACAGAACAAGAGAGATTGTTTTAATAGAGTTCATAAGAATTTTTTTTAGGTCATACACATTCCCGACATCAGAAAGTAATCAGTTGCAAAAGTGTACCTTTTCGGGAAGTAAAAGCATACCTTTTCAGGAAGTTAGCACCCGAAACTCTTCCATATCAAAATCTCTTGGTCTCCAACGTAGTTTCTCGTATTCAAAATTCATAAGTTGTATCAAGCCACATGGACTCCAAATACGAAGTTCGATGAACCATCGATAATAAAGACATGACCATCAATTAGATATACTAAATTCTCCATATGGATATCCTTAAAGTAGGTCCATGACCGTGATCGTCAAGATATCAAATTATCAATATACTACAACCATATCGACTTCTGCTTCTTTCATTTCTTAAATGTGCTTGCTATTTCCCCCCCGCATAATCAAGATATTAACTAATGAAATGAGGGAAATAAAAAGCCAAAGCCAACAAACTTTCGTTTTCTTTATTGTTTTTCTTATCATCCTTAAAGTTCAATAGGACAATATCAATCCAACAAGAATTTTACAAATGCTTCATATATAAATACACCATCACACCTTAGAAATGAATAGTAGCAGAACAAAATAAAGTATATTCATATGATATAAGTACCAATCATAAAGGAAATCCATTCATTCTTACTTCAATAGAATTTCCTCATAGATAGCGAGACACCAATACAGATGAAAGCATACTTGTTCTAACCTCCACAGATGAAGGCAAAGCTATATTTACATGAGTATGAATTCTCTCACTTGTATTAAATATCAACCAACCTATTGTCGAACAAGGGTGTATGAATACACTCACCAACGCATAAGCAGTAAGAGGTACATGACGAAAGAAGGGGTATGTGTGGTACTTGTGTCTTGTTAGAAATCCATGATATTTCAGCTAATATTCAACAACTTCGCTAACATTTTCTATTGTTACATCGTTGTAATACTCTTACACCTTACCAGACTAGAAAAAAATGTAGCAGGGCTAATGTCGCTTCCTTGATGAGGTCCAAAATTATATAAGTTGCCAGAATATGCTCATCCTTTCAGGTTTTCAAGTACCATAAAATCACAAGCCACGGGAAAATAGTTTTCAGGATGAACCTTTCACAGTGAAAAAAGAGGTAGGTTAGACATATACTCGAACCAAAGAATATCATTGTGGATTTATTAATAGAATATATCAAAAATGAGTAAAACTATCACTACGCTTCGAAGAATGTACTATTTATTGTTGGCATGAATTTCCTCTAAAGTATGTTAAATGAGATGATACTCATAACCTCTAGGACTTGAACTGCCACGCAATCCTCAAAGGATTTTCAGAAGTGGAATATAGAAAGAAAAGGGAACAAAAAGGAAATGCTTTCAGCATTCATTAATTTTTATGTAATCCAATTTTAAGCTGGTGATAAGTCACACTTGCACATAAAAATTCCAATATGATTACATGACCTATAAAAAACCTCAAAGAACGAAATTTACAAGAATAATTGGAATTTAAGCAAGTAACTTAAGAATGCGAACAATGGTGGTATTGACTTCTCGACTTTATTTTTCAAAAGACTTGCCAAAACAAATCGTCTTTTACACCAAAGTTATCTCATCTCCTTTGGGTTGGTCCCACGCTAGGAAGCAATCCCATTTGTGTAAGTTTATAATGGCATAGAATAGAATGTAGAATTCTCCGTTCTTTCATGACCACTATGTTTTCACTAAGTTATAGAGTCAGAAAGTATTTTAATCATTGAAATAATTTTTTATTGTAACCATTCTAAAAGAATGTAGCACCACCTCTTTCACCAAAACAAACAAATTTAACCAAACAAAAAATAAAAAGCACCAAGTTTTAGAATAACAAAACATATGTATCATATTTATTCATGAATATACTACGGTCATTTTATTCAAAAAAAAAAAAATACAATTAATATGCAGTTTAAAACAAAGCTAGCAACAGAAAAAAAAAATATTCTCTCTAAGCTCCTAAAAAGTCCACTCACTTACAGGGTACATACATTACTCTTTTAATGCTGAAAGGGCCAATACTTTCTCTTTTTAAGTAGCAATTCAGTAGCAGCTTGTCTTCCGTCAATTACAGTCTCCAACTGTGAGTAACAGATACTAAGCAAGAATAGCATTTCAGCAACCAAAATGTAAATTTAGTAGAAATTTTCTTGAAGAAAACTTACCCTATTATCAATTGAATAGGGGAATATCAACTGATCACCTTGTTTAATGTATTAATTCAAACTATTATCCTCATATATTCTACCAAAAATATAATTACATGTTCACTCACTTATTCAGTAAACTTGTCTCCAGAACCTTCTAGGGGAAAAGAGAATTTCTCCTTTGCATTACTTCGTTAAACAATATTGATCAAAACATCAAAGAGGAAAACAAAATCCATCTTCAAGGTTAAATTTTTTTAAGAAAGCGAAAATCTTTCTTTCAAATTTGAAAGCATTCCCTTACCTTGAAGATTGCTTGAGATAGAGAGAACGAAGAATCTGCTGTTGGAAAAATAGAGTGGACAATCTATTCAAATTAGGAAAGCAAAATCGCATACCCAAATCAGAAGAACATGTTGCATGTGATATAGAAACCTCAAATCACATACCACCCAAGGTTTCCCAAGCCAAGATACGGGTTTGATTGTCGCTATGCCTAAATAATTTCATATTCCAGAATATCATCATTGCCTCGACCTTTGAAACCAATTTCAAACATGCATGTAATGAATCAAACAAAAAACGACCCAAGCTCAAGATGTTCATAATTTTATTTTGAAAAAACAGAGGAAACGCGAAGAAGATATCAATTTTTCTGCTTTTCTATAGCCATTGAAAAGTCACTATTGAAACTCAAAAAGTACTTAAAGCAAAAACATAAATTATAAAAGAAATTAAACGCTGAATAAAAAAGGAAAGAGCAAAACTCAAAAGTCAGAGGGGTAGAGTCGGAAGAGAAACACGGAGGAAGAAGGAGAGAGAGAGAGAGAGAGAGAGAGAGACAAACTGAAATTCACAAAGAAGAACCAAGGTTTCCCGTGGATTTGTCCAAAATTAACACGTTGAATCATAGTCTAATTAGAAACTTGACCTCACTTTTGGTGTTATTAACGCAAATGCCATTCGTCGTACCACTAAGCGTTTAAATTTTATATTTTAATTTTGGTGTATACTTGTTATAAATTATTTTTGGTATATATTTACTTTTATATAAAATTATAAGTTAATTTATTATAAGTTATAATTATATATAAAATATAACATCACAAACATGAAACATACAATATAATATGTTGTTAATAAATAACACAATGTTCGTTAAATAACATAAAAATAAATATTTAATATAGTAGCGACTGACGTAGATTAAAATTGAAAATATATTAAATAACATAACGAGATGAGAAAATTACAACAATAATTTAGTATTATGGTATGTCACTTTCACATCCACAAATATCATTAAGATATTGACTGTGTGGGACAGGGGATTGTTGTGATTGTGGCTGTTGAAATTGTTGACTTCTTTTATCCATTATTCATTTTAGTTTTTCGTTGAAAAAATTGACGAATATTTGGATCATCAACGGTCTAAATTCGATAATAAAATTTTATTTTCTTCTTTAAATTATTTTAGTTTCAAAGCTCTATTTTTTATCTCCATATCTTGCTGCCTGTCTGCACTTGACTTTACCGACAACTCAACAAGCCAATTGTTTTCTGATTTGACCATTTTCATAGCCGATGAAAAACCTTCATTGATTTTCTCTTTAATTTTGCTTTCTTCACCCCAATATGTCGTTCTGATGATGTGCAATCACCTGCAACATCCTCATTCGAATTTAGTGAAAATGATGATGTGCTTGCACATATACAGTAAGAGTACGCAGAAGCGGACTCGCAAATGTGAAGAGGGACCCGCAGAAGCGGAAGGTTGGGCGCTTGGAGGAGATCGCAAATGTGGCCCCTGTTTCACAGAAGCGGTTAAGTGACCGCAGGTGCAATATTGCTGGGCAAAATATATACATCGAAGGATTTAGTCTTTTTCTCATTTTTGGAGTTGTGGAGCTTGGTTGGAGGCGATTTTTGAAGAGCTTTTCATCACAATTGAAGGGGTAAGTGATCCTTACTTGATTTTGGTGTTGGATATTAATTATCCATAAATTATTACACCTAATTTTCATGATTAAAGGTGGAATTTAGGGGTTTTTGGGCTATGATTTTGGAGAGTGAGATTTGAGGTTGGAATTGGATGAAGTGGCATGGTTGGATTCGTATTTAAATGGGTGTTAATTTGCGACTTTTGTTGGATTTTGGGGTACGAGCTCGGGGTTGACTTTTTTATTTTGGTTAAAGATCTTAGCTTTATTATTTGGAATCGCTTCCTATGATTTTTATTGATGATATTAAGTTATTTTGACTAGATCCGAGTCGTCCGGAGGTTGATTCACGCGGGAAGGGATTATTAAAGTATTGATTTGGCATGCTTGAGGTAAGTATTAATAGGTGTGTATTTTAACCACTTATTAGTACCCTTTTAATTTTATTTTAGTCCGAAAATATTGATTTATATTCCCAAAACTAATGAAAATATACAAATTACATGAACACTGGAGATTTGGGCTAAAGTAAAGAAATCCTACTCAAAAAGAAGTGTTCCGGCTCATAAGGCTAGAAGGGGCGCAACAGACCAAAAGTGCGGTCCGCATAAGTATTTCTGCGGCCGCAGAAGCAAGTGCGGACCACAAAATTCTCCTTGCGGCTGCATATCTGTTGTTGAAGCTTAGAGATAGAATGAAGAGAAGTGCGGACCGCACACAATTTGTGCGGCCGCAAAACATGGTCCGCACTAACAAGAATTCAAAAGGTTCAGAAAGTGTGCAAAATGACCAAGACTGAAGCCTTGCCTGAAGTACGGACCGCACGTGAATTGTGCGGCAGCAAAAGCTGAATTGCAGCAGCAGACCAAATTGTGCGGCTGCAGATCCATTCCCCTGTAAACTCAAGCAGTGTGCGGACCGCACATAGAATTGTGCAGCCACATAAACTCCCGAGGGGCATTTTTGTCTACGAATTTTGAGCCACTATAAATAGACGGGAATCATATTTTTAGGTCAAGTTTTGAAGTTTTCTCAGCTGTAGCAGTTGTAGTTTACTATTTTAGGAATGTGATTATTTTGGGAGAAAAACATCATACTTCTTATCATTTTAATTTTATAGTATGGGTTTAATTAGTATTTCTTCTTTGTTTCTTCAATTTCTATTATGGATGGCTAGACATTTACTAGGGTTGTGACCCAACCCTAGTGTGTAAACCTTATGGGTATTTAATTTAATGCTTGTTTATGATTGGGTGTTTGTTATTTAACCATGTTCATGCTTTAATTTTAGAATTAATGGTTGCAAACATTGATTTATACCTTTTTGACTTGATCTTTGCTTGAGAAAGAGGGTCTTGCCTAAGAAAGCTTGGCTAACAAGAAATTGGGCTAGTTAAGGACTTGACTAGCTTAATTAAAGAGTTTGAACTAGCGATAGGGAACACCCGACTTGAGCTCATATCAACTATTTAGCTTGATACTCATTTGGTCTTGAGAAAAATAAATTGGGCAAAAATTGCTCTATCTACGGAGAGGTATTGAGTGGGTAACTTTGAGTTGAGAGCTATAATACATCCCGATCAATAAAATAAGTATTAACGTACTTAACCCATTAGCCGAACGCCTAGGTGAAGGTTACATCCCTAGCTTTTAACCTATTTGAAAACAACCAAAAACTATTAGTCAATTTCTAGTTTCATTTCTCTTATTGAGCATTGATTGCAAATCAATTTGATTTGAAGTGTATTTAAGTTGTTTCGTCTTCACGTATATCAAGTATACACTTTAACACCCATTGTTAGCTCCTTGTGGAAATTTACCCCTACTCATAGTTGGGTACTATTGTTACAACGACCTCTTCATTGAGTGTGGATTAGGTTTGGATCAATTTTTGGTACCGTTGCCGGGGAGTTAAAACAATGTTAGCTATATATTTGTGTGTGTTTTTGGAATATCTTCCTTATATTCCTTGTTACTAATTTGTTTATGAAATTATAGGTACAAACATGGCGAACAATGAGCTCGAAAATTTGCCTTTGTGGGTTTTGGACGGCAAGGAGAACAAGTAGATGAGGTGTTTCAAGTGCCACAACAAAGAGGCCGGGGACCGCAAGATAATGTGTCCTTTCCACCCCCACCTCCACCACATCCACCATAAGCGGCTCCACACCGGATATTGCCCAACGAAGGTTATGCTAGTGCAATAGTCCCTCCCCATATTAGGGCGGAAGCTTTCAAATCACCAATGTAGTGCTCACTTTGCTTGAGCAACGAGGTTTCTTTACTGGTGCTCCAACTCAAAATGCTTACAAACAATTGAAAGGATTTGTGGATACATGTTGTGGGAGCAAGCAAACTAATATTTCCGAGGATGCATTAAGGATACGGGGAAAGCTTTAGATTGGTTGGAACGGTTGCCAAACCATTCAATTCACGCTTGGGATGAGTTGGTGGCCAAGTTCATTGCTAAGTTTTTCTCTCCCAGACACATGGCTACACTTCGAAATGAGATCTTAACATTCAAGCAAGAGCCGAATAAGCCACTACACAAAATATGGGAGCGCTATAGAACAATGGTTAAGGAATGTCCCAACAACGATATATCGGAAAATATGATACAACAAACCTTTTATCGTGGGATTAACACAACCAACAAATGTGTAGTGAATCAACTAGCCAGTAGGAACTTTATGACTATTCCTTATGCGGAGGCGTGTGAAATCTTAGAAGAGATGGCAGAAACGTCGTCGGCTTGGCAATCACGGGCCAATGTTCCACAAGGTGATCCGAACATGATCCACCTTCACAAAGAATTGCAAGACCATGAGAAAGCCATTGCCGAATCGACCACTACAATTTCCCAACTAGCAAATGCCCAACTAAATCAAGTGCAAGCTCCTAAGCAAGTTCATGCTATGAAAGGAGTGAATGTTTTGGAGAACAAGAGGAGGACCAAGGGTCCATAAGTCCAAACCCTAGTGGAGAACTATGTACAAGATGATAGAGGTTTTGATCAAGATGATTCTTACAATGAGCAAGAGGAAGAAGTACAATATGTGAACAATTTTCAAAGGCCAAGAAACAACTTCCAAGGCCCAAACCAACAACAATTGCGACCACAAAACAATCATGGCAATTGGAATTCTAACAATCAAGGGAATTGGCATAACAATAACAGTCAAGGAAATTGGAGTGCAAACAACCAAGAAAATTAGGGAGGCAACAACCAAGGTGGTTGGGGTAACAATCAAGGCAACCGGGGTTTGGGTTTTTAAAGGCCCCCAGTGCATCAACAATCGAGCAACCTACCTCCTTGTCCTTCCCATGGTTCAAGTTATTCAAACAATGAGATGAGACGTATTGATATGTTCAAGTAAATGATGGAAAAGAATGTCGATTTGAATGCACCAACTTGCCTCACACAACACATCAATCTGCAACCTAGAAGTTCAAATGGGAAAAATCTCTCAAGATTTAAATTCTCGTCCTAAGGGTGCACTACCAAGTGACACGATGGTAAACTCAAAGGGTGGTAACAATATGGGGCATGCTATGGCGGTTATCACAAGAAGTGGAAGAGGCAGAAATGCACCCACCTCAAGTGGAAGGAGACTTGTTGCTGATCCCAAACAATGTTTTTCAACCAAATGAGGAAGTTCGGATTGATATTGATGATAGTGTGGAAGAGACTCAAGAGGAGGTAAACTCGTCTAGGGAACACATTATTGACATACCGGAGTCAGCGGTGCAAAAGGCAAAGAAACCATTACATAAGTCTCCACCTCCATAGCCTTAAAGACTTGCCAAGAAAAATGGCGAGAATCAATTCAAGAGTCTTTCAATCAATGTGCCATTGGTCGAAGCTTTGAAACAAATGCCCGGTTATGCAAAGTTTAAGAAAGATCTTGTGACCAATAAGTGGTCA